GGTGGCAATGGAGCTTCGTTAGGTCACAGTGAGGGTTCAGTTCGATTTACATGAAGGACAAAAACATGTAATATTTGAATTTCTTTAAGGGCATTTAAATCTTTTATGCACCTTTGAATTAGGTCTAAGCGCATTAAGCAACTTCTCTACCTCTTAGAAATTAAGATCTAAAATCCAATTTCAGATCTGTAATAAGAGGTTATACCAAATGAAGTTGTCTGAAAAGCAACATTTTTAGATTCAGACATTTGAAAAGTGCAATCAAACGCCACTTAAACTTACTGATGAATTGATTATTCTGCCACACCTTCCGAATAAGGCAACAAGGGGAGGGTGTTCTACCAACATGAATAGTTTTTATTTTCTCAAACAAAAACACCCGCCTTGTCAGCAAAAATAATAATTTTTGCTTTGTTGATATGGCAATTTTGTACACCTCATTCTTTTTATAATAGCTAAAACCTTTTTTTTTTTATTCAAACTTTCCCTCTTGGGGAGTTTATCTCTCATGGCCAAACATAATGCATATATATAAATATACCAACCATCTTTCTCCCCCTAGGGTATAACAATTAATTAAATATTTTTAACCAAATCCTCTATGAACACTTAATTGATTTTATTACAGTCCTAGTTGTTTGACTCCCAATCCATAATTGATTCTACTTTTGCATTATCCACTATCAACACTCCATCAATCCTACATCCAAAGTTCTTTAAGGGCATACTTTTGACCCAATTAATTATCACCCCACACTTTACATGTCTTCCCCTTTTCAATTTTTTAGGCCACACATTTCTTTTTGGCCTTTTCTTTGGTAAGTGCATTTATCCATGTTCTTTTATTTTTCAGGTAAGTAAGGTAATGATCATCTTAGTCATAAAAATACATTATTAAAAGGGGAATTTTTATCCCATTCAAGTATTAGCAACTTTCCTTCTAGGTGGGAAAGTTATTTACCCATCTAGGAGATAGATATTACTTATCCAAGAAAATAAACTTTCCCTAATCCCCACATTAATCTGAAAAATGAACATGAGATTCTTGGCCAATGGAAACCAAAATCCCATTGACCAATTCCCTGCTCCCCACCACAAGTTTTCCTTATGGTTGAAGATATCTCTCTAGGCCCATAATGTTCAGAAATCTCATTTTTTGAATATTTCATTGACTATTCTTAGCTTCATTAATTAGCTCCATCTTTCTTAATCCTAAACCTCCATTTGATTTAAGTATGATTGCTTTTTTCCATTTTTCAAGATATATGGGATTTTTTTTATCATTTTTATTCCGCATAAGTTGAAGCTTGCCCATCTCTCTTTTTAAGTTTGCTTGGGGAGTTGATACAAGCCCATCTGATTTTGCACCATATTTCCAATATTAGCCTTCAACATTGTAATTCTTCCCTCAGTAGATAGGATTCGACCCCGGCCTAAAACTTGTTTTTGACTTTTTTCCACTCTCACTGAACAATGATCTTGATCTCTCTACCATTAACTCCCTTTGTACTACGGGATCAATCACAATTATCCCTGAACTTCCATTTGCAGTAAGGCCCTCCTGAACTTTCGTCTTGCAACGAATATCTCTTGGTCATTAAGTCAGAAGACAGAAAGCATTAAATTACCGAAATAATGAAAATACCCATTTGAATTTTCTTTATTTTCTTTTCTCACCCATTTTCTCTTAAACCCTAACTGACCCACAAATACCTCCATTGCAAAATTCTTCCAAATAATCTCAAAGCCTTGTCTGCGAAGAACCTCATAATTGCCGATTTTTGTTCTTACAATCTTTCAACCCATCCAATATTGTTTTCAAATATGTCAATTGATGTGTAGAATTTGCTATTGCTAAAACAATCAGCTTTTCGCCCTCAATCCGACTTCTTTGAAGGTATTGTTGGAGATTGGTTTGGGGAAAAAATGCAATTTGAGAAACCACATAGGGTTTTTGTATGCCTGATAGATTTCATGTGGGTTCTTCACTTGCTTTGCCAATTATCTAAAAGGGTTTCATGGAATCAGGGATTGACAACTGAGAAGACTTTGAAATTTGCAATTTTGTTGTTGCATAGAAATCAAATAAATAAGAAAAGGGTAATTTGAAGATTTAAAAAGCTTTTAACAGCCAAATTAGAATATTTTTCGAAGTTAACAAATGGAATCTTAATGGAGGGCATATTTGTGACAAAGTGAACGTTTAAGGAGTCTTTGTAATTTATCCTTTTTAATATCTTAACAATAATTTTTTTTAATATTTCAGAAATGTTTTTGGAAAAAACATATACAGCCGAAGAAGAAAAAATAAAAAAAGAGCTAGAGATAGAATGAAAGCATACCCTAATATTTGGTGCAATCACTCAATCTAGCAAACTACCTTAGAGCAACAATTTTTCTCCGTACACGGTACATGAGTAAATTAACTTTTTTTTTACTTTCTTTTGAGGATAAATCTATAGTGCACGAACTGCGTCCTATATAAAAAAATGAAGGGTAAATTTCTTAAACTATCTTATGGCTTAGTTAATTGATTAATTGTAGTTTTATTGTTTAAAAATTAACTTATGCATTAAAAAGACTATTTTACTCTTCATTCTTTATCAAATTTTCAAAATAAAACAAGGAAAAGAAGAAAGAAATGCTGAACTCAGTGGCTCTGTAGGCAATCTCAGCACTTACATCCCTATCATTTTTGCACCTAAAAACCCTTTGATAACATAAAGATTAAAAAGACTATTTTACCCTTCATTTTTTTCAAATTTTCAAAATAAAACAAGGAAAACAAGAAAGAAATGCTGAACTCAGTGGCTCTGTAGGCGATCTCAGCACTTACATCCCTATCATTTTTGCACCTAAAAACCCCTTTGATAACATCGGGTTCTGCCTGCCGGAGAATCTACGGTTTGCCGCCGCTATGACATCTAGCTCAAGTTCGGGAGTTTGAAGACGATGGTGGACGATGATCCAAAATGCAAAAATAAATGAGGGAAGGGTGGGAAAAAAGACCAGGGAGATGAGGGAGAGAGGGGAACAAAGATAGATAGATAGAGAGAGAGAGAGAGAGAGAGAGGGAGGTCGGTATTGAGAGAGAGTGAGAAGTCAATTGCCTTCTGAAGTACATTTGTATCCTCTATGTTTAATCTATCAATCGGATGGCAACGGAGACTCCTAATTTTGAAAACAAAGAAAGGGAATCGAGTAAAGAATTACTAAATGTTGCGTTTGCCAAGAGAAAGTGTTGTTTCTGCATATTCTATTTAAGTCTGGACCAATCAAAGATCGTTGGACAGGTGGGGTGGAAGAGAATTCGGTTGGTGGAGAGCAAAGACGGATGGCGGATGAAAGCATGGAAGAAGGCAAGGCAGTGGTCAAAGATCATGGCGGGGCCTAAATGGAAGACATTCATCCAACGAATCAACAAGAACAACAGAGGCAGCGGAGGTGGTAGGCTTCAGAAATTTCAATACAACCCCTTAAGTTGTGCTCTCAATTTTGATGATGGACCAAGGAAGAACGGTAATCTCGATGATGAGATCATGTACCGCGATTTCTCATCTTGGTTTGTGTCGATTCCAATTTCGGCGGAGTCATCTATGGATCTCGGCAAGGACATGCCAGCCTTCACGTAAGGAACGCGTGCCAGGGGCGGAGGATGCGACACAAAGCGCGATGTCATGGACGGCAACACGTGCCAAGGGGCGGAGGATGCGGCGCAAGGCGCTCCCATCCTGTCGGTCGAGGTTAGATTGCCTTCTCGCTCCAGCGTTGGTGATGACCCCATTTCAAACAAAAACAGAGGAGTGGCGGTGAACCAGTGACACCCCTTCAGCCATTCTCTCCCATTTCTCTCTCTCTCTCTCTCTCCATTCCTCTTTTTACCGTTACCAGTACCTTTCATCATCGACCTCGGCTCGAACCAGAAGCGGCGATGACATTTTCTCTCTAATCTCTCTTCTTCTCTCACACTTTCTCTTCTTTTTTTCCTCCTTGTCTCCTCCACGTCCTCTCTCTTATTTTATTGCTTCATCATTGTTGTCGCTGCTACAACTCATTGTAGTGGCGGTTCTGAACATGGAAGATAACCAAAGACTAATATGAGTCGATCAATATGTTGTGGATCTGATGAACGCCAAGCTTCTAATGAAAGTATTGTTAGCATCTATTTTTTGTTCGGTCCCTTCTTTGACCCATCTCCTACATTTTGGATGCCTGATCGGACCACACCAATCACTTTAAAGCATGCAAAAATCCTAACAAACCAAATTTGAGCCCAAATACCCATAAATCCACTATTAAATCTACATGATTCCCTTTCGATGGTCTTGATTATGCCACATCATTATACTTGATCCCCAATAAAACTCCATCACGTGAAACAAAACCCTCAAACAAACTATCACACAAGATTTGAATCCTAAATTCCTAGATTTAGCCAACATCCATCAGAGATCCCATTTCGACGCACTGAACACTACGATGTTCCTCAAACCTAAAACCTATGATCTGTACATACCTAACATGATCAAACCGTTCCAAAAGCCTCATAGTCTCTATCCATACCTACCACCAAATTTTATGCCAAAATTCCCTCATTTGACCCAACATCAAACATTGGTTATGTTTTGACAAATTTTATTGATTAAAAGCCTATTTGTCACAAATCTCCATCATCCAAACCTTATTTGACTAGTCAAACCCCACCACCATGTTCAGAGACCCAAAGAACCTCAATATATCAAATTTTATGACCACACTTCCATTTGACCATTAAAAAAGTAAGATTCCATTTAGGATCCTCTCATTGATCGGAAAACCATAAGACCATGATCTAAACTAGACCAGTAAATCTATACCTATGATAAAAGATCGATCACTTTCATCAGACCCACCAAATTTCATCCCAAAATTCTCTCATTTAACCCTTCATCAAACAAAGATTATATTTCAACAAATTTTATTGATCCGAACTTGTCAACCATAGATTTCAATCATCTCGACCCCATTTGTTCAATCATACCTCACCACTATGTTCAGAGACCCAACAAAACCCCAATATGCCAAATTTCATGACCAAATTCATCCATTCGACCGTTAAACTAAAGAGATGTCATTTTAACGTTGGATCACCACATCAACTGTCCAACCTAGCATCTTAAGTGGAAGGGGACTAACGTCAGCTCCTTACTTGACCCCCTTAAAACACCTGTCCCAATGAATTTGAGCCTAATAGGATTAAAGAGCTCAAAATACCAAACAAGTCCCCACTTAAAACTAAGAAAGGACAAAACATATTTTAAAAGTTCATTAAATTTATGTTTTTTGCCATTGTCAGCCCCAAAGACGGGACTACAACGTCTGGCATGCCCTAATCCCTCATTGGACTCACGAAACCCATAAGAAACCACCCAAAATCGAAAAAATTTGTTGCACAAAGAAGGAAAGGTCAACTATAAGCCTTTCTCTATCAAAATCCTTGCCTATTTCGATGAAAAAATTCTGCTGAACCACAGACTATAGCTGGGTGAGTTTCAAACCCACTTCTCTCAAATTTCTCTATAAATAGAAGCCCAGCTCGAGCTTGAGAGGGAGAGAGGACAATTTTCCAACTTCTGTAACCCCCCATTTTGTTTAAAATTCTAAAATCCCTAAAGCCAAGCTCAAGCCTCATCCCTTGCTTTCCAAACTTAACACAAAAAATGTTCAAATCAGCTCCTACCTTGCTCAAGCTCCATTTGACGTCCTTTCAGTTATTGGAAAATTGGTTTCAAGTTGTACATGAGAGGTAAGCCTCTCACCCTCCCATCTCTCTGCTTAGGTCTAGTTTCAGATTGCTTAAAATCCTTAGATTTTGGGAAACTTGCATTCCAGCTTCCTACAGATTGAGAAAAAGAGGTAGAGAAACGAGGGTCTTAGGGAAACTAGTACCTAAGAACCAATAACATTACCTCAAACCAATTCTGGGCAAAGTTGGGAACGTTTTTGTTGAATTTCAGGAACTGTGTAGTCCCATTAATTGGTGTTTTGTTGGAATTTAAGCCTGAAATACTCCCGTAGTGAGCTGTTATAGCAATTTGGAGAGAGGGGTGCCTAACACCTTCATTCTCCCAATCCTTTGAACCCAAAGCCTTTTGGTTCAGTGCCTTTCCTTGGCAAAGAACGGAGTCGCTATCAAGGCCAGTAAACCATTTTCCAAACCCGAAAATGAGGGCCCATTCCTCTAAAAAATTGGTGGCGACTCCAACTCTTTGAGCCGACCATGATATTCACAGAGCTCACAAGTATACAATGAGAGAAAGAGAGAAAATGGAAGAAAGACCAGAGGCAGAGGGGGAGGTCTTAGAATGGAGAGAGAGAGAGTGGGGGGGGGGGACTCAGAGGACAAGGGTCACATTGGGTTTTAAAAAATTTTATAGGTCATGTGGAGTCACATGTGAACAGACTGTAATAGAGCATTAACGGATTCTAATGAGAGGAGTAGAGTTAGTCAATTGTCAAAAATAGTAAGGATAGCATTAGTCAATTTTCAAACAATAAGGGTACACTTAGCCAATTAACTAAACCATAAGAATAGTTTATGAAATTTATTCAAAAATGAATCGATAGTAATAATGTGACAGTAATCAATGAAAATTTAGTAGATCATGTGACGTCTTTAACATTATTTAACATTTTAGGACCAAGACCATATGCTATTGATTGAAATTTTGATTTATAGTACATTAAATACTCAAAATGTATTGTAGTTGGATTCTTTTTCAATTGATTTATAGTACATTTCCCTACTTACTACGACTCAGTCTAAGGACCAAGCAATTCTATCTTGTATTAAAGGAGAATCAAGACCCGCCATTAGATGGCCCCACCTAAGAAATCAGCATCGTCACATAATTCATCCAATTTTTCAAAACTTCTAATAGGCTTAATCATATTATTTACAGATTGTCTTTTGCGGATAAATTGTTACATATATGAAAACAAAAATATGAGTAAAGTTACCTAATGAGTACTGACAATAAGGGATGATAACGGGGTGGGGATCATATTTTCCGTCCTCAATTCCTATTCTGAAATTAACTTCCATCCTTGTTCTTGATCTTTATTGGGGATAAAATTTGTCCTCCATTCCTAATTCCCAACGGAAATAGATTTTCCATGGGGATCTGAATCCCTAAAATATTTTTAAAATAAATTCATTTTAAATAAATAAAAAAATTAAATTATAAATAATATTTTAAATATATTTTGATATATATAATATAAATAGTATAATAATATATTTAATGTAAATAACATTTAACACATATACATATATATAATCATAGTCAGGATAGGTGAGAATTCCTATTAATCCCCAACCTCAATCGGAGATTTCTATTAATCCCCATCCTCATCCCCACCCCATGGGTCCCGTCGGGGATGGAGATGGAAAAATTGCCATCCCTAAATCTGACATACTCAAATGTTCGTTCACTAAAATATCAAGTGACAACAAGTAGTTGAGTTCAGCTAATTCAGTCATTTTGAAACAATACAGACCAGTTCGTAGTTCATTAATTTTGGGCTTTGTAAAAGTTAACAGTTGAATCTTTTTCACCATCTCAAAGTACTTAAAGCACACACTTGTTTCAAAGATGGCTTTTTGTACATTTTACTCTTAGTGGTGACATGCTAGTGGGACCCATTAAATATTGGTGGACCGAGATACTTTAGACATACAAGATTTTGCCTTTTTTGACTTTTGTCAAACTACTAGATGAATAAGACGAGATTAACCGACTCTTTTCTCCCATGAGCATGAAGTCTCCGTTAAAAAGATTGCGAAAGACAAGGGAAGAATAATTAAAACGTAAGCTATAAAGAGGATAGCAAGTATGATGAATACGGAGCTTGGACCTGATACATCCACATTCACATCCACACCAATAAAAGGGTGGTTGCAAGTTGAGAGAGAGGAAATGAATAGTAAGGGATGAGGAAATATGGGTCATTACAAATGTTTACTATATTGGACCGGTCCGGATGGTCGGACCGAAAAACCAGGATGACCTGTTCCATTTTACTCCCAAACTGTTATTTAGTCAAAAATCATTGATTTGGTCAGCAAATCACTGACTTAGGTGATTGAACCGTTGAATCGGTTGACTCAAGATTTAATTTGGCCTTTTTGGGTTTTTAAATTTTTTTATTTTTTTATTAAAGCGGGTCGTCCGTTCGGACCATTCAACCCGGGAATCAGATCCCAGAATGGTTTCCTGTCCAGTTCGGTTTTAAAAACTTTGGTCACCACTACTTAAAAATAAGTAAAGATAAAACTGATTTTAAAATTAAAAAAATCCATAATATGGGAAAACTAGATATAAGTGCCCATTTGGGAGGATCGAAGTGTACTGGTTTCTGGATTTTGAGATTTTCAACATGGGTCCCACACGAACAACCTATAAGCTATTTTTAGTGAAAAAATATAGAAACATACAAACAGGCCCAATACAGATTTTTTATTTAAGTTATAAACATTTAAAAGGTAAAAAATCCACACTCTATGCATCCATACCCACTTGTGAATTGGCATCAATTCCGAGCTGGCACTTACTCCAAATGTACTTTGAGCCTATGAATTCTGACCCTGTGC